GCCCACCCCTATAGCATTAAAAAAAAAAAAAAACAGGCCGTGGAGGCTCATATGGTTGTGAGATGTTGAGGCTCGCACATTTTCTAGACAATCGGCTCATAGATGGCAGCAAGGTTGTCAGCCCTACGTGTCAGCCGCCCTTTACCCCCAAGAATATTCCAAGAATATTCATGGTACTGTGACCTTCTGGGTTGTAGTATAATAATAATAATAATAATAATAATTCAATTCTTATTTATTTACTTGTAAACTTAACAGCCCAGAGGCCAATTACAAAGTTAGCACGAATGGGAAGAAAGAAACAAAATACAATATAAGGCAGTTTATATGGGAATAATAACGACGACAACAACAACAACAACAACAACAACAACAACCTAAGTCAAACATTGAAATCCTTAAGAAAAGCGGATCTTCAGAGTTCCACACAATTAACACAAATTGTAATGACCTCTAGTATTCCCGTATTGAGAAGATTTCAAAGTACATATTGTCCATGCAATACATTAAAAAGTTGTGTAAGCAAGGGACTGTAATTACTATGACATATGTGCTTATGAAACTGACATTTTCCATAACATTACATCGAAGTCTTCCTACACACCCACACCCATTCCCCATATGCCTTCATGGCCTTGTGCTTAAGTAGTTAAGCACAGAGACAACTTTACCTTACAGGTAACTCTAGTTGGTGCTAATATGAAGTGTCTGTAACACTGTCTGGAAATTCCTGTATGGTTCCGTGTAAGGAAATGACACATTCTGTACATATGTAAGTGGGTTCATAGGTGCTTCAGCTATTATAGCTATTTTGCTCTGTGTAAATGTGGGGTTAAAATATTCATTAAGAACCCCCGCAGTAATATTAAGCAAATTTATGTATTTATCCGACTGCATCAGGGTGTAACCTATCGTGCTCAGAGTGCGAGTATCTGACTACAGATGCGAGTTAAGAGCAGAGAGCAAAAAAATAGGCTACAAATTGGTCAGTTTTTTTCTGAAAATAAGAATATTGATGAAATGAATCTTCATCAAAAGACTAAAATCGTGTCCGTTAAATAAGCTTATCTACTTGTGTACCATGAAGCAACGCCGCGATGGTAGACACGCTACGATGATCATTTTCTAAAATGTCGCGTAGTTAGCAATGAAGACGAAGGTATAGCGTTCTTCGTCATAACGAGGGCACTCCTGCAGAATACATGAAACTGGAAGGGAACACCACACACACTACAAGCAGCAATATCTTCGTGTGTATATGCTCAGAAAATATATTCTGAAGAATACTACCCTCGAAAGTAACAATAAAGAAACGAAATAATAGGTAAATATGCAGGAGTAACAGAATTCATAGTAGTAGTAGTAGTAGTAGCAGCAATAATAATAATAATAATAATAATAATAATACCAGTAATACTAGACTTTTATGACAGAAATAGTAGAACTAAAGTAGTGATTGTAGCCGTAAGGCTTCTCGTGTTGCAGCTTTCAAGGTATCTGATGACTCGCGCGGAAGCCAATGCCCCTCTGTGGTCTAGTGTTATGAGTTCCGGGCTACAGATCCAGAGGTTCGGGTTCGATTCCCGGCGCTACCAGATTTTCTGAGAAGTAGTGGGTCTAGAACTAGGTCCAATCAGCCTTGTGAGGACAATTGAGGAACTATTTCAAGGAAATGGCTGCTCTAGAAAACCGAGATTATCGGCCGTGGGGATCTCTTGCGCTGACCGCGCGACTCTCTCTATCCGCAAATTTGGCACTAACTTTGCCGACAAGCGGCGGTCGCTCGGTAGATATAGTTCGCTTGCAGACTACAGGTGACGGAGTTTGTTTTGTGTTTTGCGGAAGTCAATGCCTGGTAAAGAAGGATGTTCTTCATAGCAGTAACATATCGAAGGTTTCGTTTCAGAATGGGTGTGTTTCTAAAAGTCATAGGTCTGCATATTATTATTCAAATACCGAGCCATCATCTAAGAGTTTCTTGAAAACTGTATATCAACCGGGGGAGAGATAGATGATCGTTTCATCAATTCGGGCCACATAGATTCGATGTGGCACCGCTATCGACAAGCCAAGAATCTATTCACATTAAACTTTCTCTTAAAGATCGCCCCAGTAAATCGCTCAACAGCTGCCGTGCAGGAAGCCTGTATGCTATGTGCCGGCTGACGGTAATTCCGAGATCCTGGTACTGATTTAAACATCCTGTTGCAGTAATATATTTCTGTACACATATATTTCCATCTTAAATGCTACTTATTATGTACGCGATAGTCACCCTTCTTGCTTACTATAGGTTTCGGCCGTATAAGGCCATTATGAGGTATTATCTATCTTGCTAAAATTGTTGCATTGGATGTCTAAATTATGTATCGCGTGTGAACACGATATTTCCTAATTAAAATGAACTGACCTTGAATTGAAATTAATTAATATTTTCATGTCTTGTCCCCACGGCATGATGCGTCCTCAGGTTGCGGATGGAGAAGACGGTCTCCACACGTGGAGGGTAGCTGTGAATATAGTGAATAAGCAGTCGCGGACAGCCAAAAGGGGGTAGTCCTCCAGCTTTGGGATTGGGTTTGGGACTAATAACTCCTCACCTTAAAAATGTAAGCTTGTTACGAAGGATCACAAAAAGCTTCGGACCTGGACGGATTCCTTGGACAAACGGCCTAAACGAAAGAAAATGGTTATAAGATTTGGTACATGTAATGTTAGAAGTATGTATGGGGCATGTTCGCTCGGGGCAGTGGCGAAAGAAATCTCAAAATATCAGTTAGATTTAGTGGGAGTACAGGAGGTCAGACAGGACGGAGGTTGCACCGAGCCAGCAGGCAAATATGCATTTTTCTATGGAAATTGGAATGAGATTTATGAATTAGGTACAGATTTTTTCATACATAAGAGAATCATATCCGGAGTTAAGAGGGTAAAATTTGTTAATGATAGGATGTCATACATAATATTAAGAAGTCACTGGTGTGATATTATCGTTCTGAATGTTCATGTCCCAACAGAAGATAAAATTGATGATGATGAACAGGTTCTATGAAGAACAGTGAAGGATGAGATTCGTAATCTGCTTGCAGATTCCCACAACATTTCGAATAGGTGGAAGAACTACTTCTCTCAGTTACTGAATGTACACAGGGTCAGTGAGGTGCGTGATAATATAGGTACCATAAAGAAAAACACACACTTTAATTGACGCTAGTAAGGAGGTTGGTCTAGAAGTAAACACTGAGAAAACTATGTATATGCTGCTGTCTTGTCACCAGAATGCAGGGCAAAATCATGATGTATAGATTAATAACAGATGTTTTGAAAATCTGACACAGTTCAGATATTTGGGAACGACTATAACAAATCAATACCTGATTCAAGAGGAAATTAAGAGGAGACTTAATTCAGGCAATGGTTGATGTCATGCAGTCCAGAACCTTTTGACTTCTCATTGGCTGTCTAAAAGCATAGAAATTAGAATATAAAAAATCCATAAATTTGCCTGTGCTTATATAGGGATGTGAAACATGGTCTCTGACATTAAGGGAGGAACATAAACTGAAGGTGTTTGGGAACAGGGTGTTGAGGAGAATATTTGAACTAAT